GTGGAGGGAAATGGGTAAAGCCACTTTACCACTTTGACACTTACCAGCATGAAAACCTACACATGAAAATGTACTTCTGGTTTCTCCATTTTTTAAAAAAGCATCACCTGCTTTTAGAGGAAGATTTAAACTTTTACCAAAGCAGACAAGTACTTTTAAAACTATTACAGTACTAGCTTACTAATCTTGGGTCATTAAATCTAAACCCAGAATCCAAATGCTCTTGAACTTGGGCAAAGTTCATGTCCAGGTCTGAACTTTATACCTATCCCTATGTCTATAGTGGACCAAACCAAATGCTTGCTGCCAAACTTCTCCTGGCTTTGTGGCTTGTCAGGCCCATCTTCATTATCATTTACCAGAAATGATATAAAACTTAGAAATACAGGAAAAGAACAAGAATCCTAGCGATAGCAATCAACACTACCATGTATAAGATGACAGTATCTAATGCTCTAATAACTTTTTTCACCTCCAAGATCCCCTGAAAAACATTTACTCCTTCAGTCAATGGGTCAGGGGTCAGCCAATGGGTACACAACAAGGAAGTGAAATTTTGACTAAGGATAGTTAGCAAGCCTCACAATTAAAAGCAACGAGTAGAGAGTCTTAAATCAGGCAGAAGGCAAGGCAGGGAGGCACTTTAAAGGCTAGCTTGTTCAGAATGGCATAAGCTTTTCTAGGCTACAGGCTACTTCATCAGATGCTATGAATCAACTTGAAGGGAGCAAGGGCACTAACTAGACAGGAATAAAATAATTTAATACAAAGTACAGGGAAAGGAGGAAGTAAGGATGGGGGAAGGAGCACCTTTCCCTCTCTCAAAAATGACTCTTCCTCCTATACTCCTCCTCCTTTCCCTATCCTTGGCATTTATTTTATTCCTATTTAGTACCTCAGCTCTCTACAAGTCCTTTCATAGTAGCTGACACCTACAAAAACATGTGTCTTTTTGAACAAGTTAAGTCTTCATGGTGTCATCATGCCTTGCTATCTGTGCAATTAAACAAAGTATTCTCAGACCTTGCAATGTCTAAATTTCAGGGAAGGCACCAAAATTTATTCTCTTAGAGAGATTTTTATAGTTAACTGTCTGATTCGTTTGGGCTTAATTTTCAGTGTTCTGTTTCTGGAGCTGACCAGTAAAATCTCAAAGATAAAAACTGGTTATTCTTTTTGCCATAGGTGGCATAAAAGCATGCTTAATAGATTTTTGCCCAATCCTCAACTAAAAGTGAATCATAACTTGCCTAGCAAAAGAAAACTTAAAAGTGTAGAAGAGAGTATCCTTTGGGCTTTAGAGGTGGAGGCAATTCCAGGGTAAAAAGGTCATTTCATTTAAAGTATCTCAGATACCAACTGTTGATCAGGAAATGTTGTTGGGTAGTCAGCGCTAACAGTTTTCCTCAGCTTATATTTAGTATATTCCAATTCAACAATAGTTGACTGAATGGTTTCTTGTTTTCCATTGCATCACAAGAATTCAATATTATAACCAATATTATTTACTGTATAGTTAAGAAAGATGTTGGACAAGCTTTCATTCATGCATAAAAGTACCCTTTCAGGTCTGAAGAAGGAGATCTTTGTTCAGACATGAAGAACAGTATATTGTGCCCCAAATCTTGTCCAACTTCTCTCTCAATGATATACTTGGTCCAATCAAAATATCACAAAAAAAAATCCTTGCTACCTGGATCACCATGGCTAGTACAACACACCAATCCCATTACAATTTAAGATAGCTACCTCTTATACAGTATACTATATTTGAACAACACCTTTATTAAAAACTGCCAACGATATAGTCTCTTCAGAGTTTCTTGTGATCGCATTAGACAATAGCATAATACAAATTCAGTCACTGGGCCATATTCATCCTTGACACAAATCCATCAGTTTCAGTGGAGTTAGGCCAAATTAATCCCTGGTGTATCATTGAGATGAATTTTAATACTCTTACTGTAGTGCCCAGAAGCGCTAGTCAGGACTGTGCTAGCTGCTGTGCATAAAAACTGAAGACGACAAGGATCGTGCCCTGAAACACTAACCTCAAGGCATCCAGAGAATATGCTGTCAAAAGGGCTTCATGTTTATTTTCATAATTCATAGAACATCGTCCATGTATACAATGCTTTACAAAACAATCTGACACAGGTGTGGATACAAAACCACACCATACTAATATGCATAAGCATTTGAGTGCAAATATTTGTTTCTCTTAGAAAGATCAGGCAACCTTCCAGATGTCTTTTTTTTTTCTTCAGAATCAAATCAAAACTCGGTAAAACTTTGCTAAATATGTGGCATTTATTTACTTGAAAATGTTTATTTCATCCACAAAATACTGTCTCAGGTTTAAAAGCCACAGGTATAAATTAGGAAGATTAAAGATTTGGGTAAAATCCTGATACTGCAGACACACGGGGGGGGGGGGGGGGGGGGGTGTGCTTCAATGGGTTCGGCCTTTCACTCCCTTGATATTTAAATCTAACATTAAACTTTCTAAGTGGCCAGCATGGCAATCTCATTACATTTTTTTAAATCTTGTGATCTAGTTGAGGCAGGGATTCTCCTTGGGTGTTTGTTCAGTGCCCAGTACAAGGGGATTGCTATCTGGATTACGGACTCTTTAACACTGCACCAATATTATGAGACCAACCTGTCATGGGTATAAATTACCAACAGTTGACACCAAAATAAAACTGGTTAATTCCAAAAGTAGTTTGAGTTCAAGAAACAGAACCATTTTGTGGTTTATACCCAGTTAGCCTCTGCAGACGTGGATCTTGGTGGTGGCGGATGAAATTTTAATATTTGAGGCAAAAAAACCAAAACAAAAATAAAACACTTAAGTGAAAAAGACAAAATGGGTATATATGTATCACCTCAACACAGAGGCAGAAAGCACCATGTTGAGGGACATAAAGAGCCTGCATCTGCAGGGTGGGTACTAAATAAGAGTAATGTAGCCATCCACCTGAGTGCACTGCTGTATTTCTTTAAAAAAACTATTCTCCATAAGCTTGGGAGAACTTATTGGCATGATCCCAGTAGCAGACTAAGGCAGCTATATTACTTCCAGTTTGAGAAGTATCACACATGCATTAGGTACAGCAGGCATCAATATGGAGCTCCCTGACACTATGCAGAGGCAGTGCAGACATGCCTGTGTCCAAAGGTATAATTTCTGTGTATAAAAGCAACATGTTAATTCATGAAATCAAACTGAAGCAACACTTGTTATCCATAGCAATTCCCAAATAATGCTACCTACAAAAATCAAAGATCATTTTGGAACACCCCAGTAAAAATACACAAACAAAAAGTTCAGTTTAAAAGCTTTATGATCATTGTTAAATAATGGATGCAGGGAATCTGTGGGGCTTTTTATTATTATGCTAATCTCGTATGCCCTGGAAATAAATCCTAATTTAACAGTAAACTCATTGCATAGAATGTGTAATTCAAAGATATACAACGTATTTGGAAAAATGGGAAGTATGATAGCTCTCTGTCTGTATGCCATTTTCTTACATTGAAACAATGCCAAAGTATATCCTGCAACAGTTCTGCTATTGGTGCCTAGAAAAGTCACCACCCCACCCAGAGACCAATTTTGTCCTCCCATATAGTTTCATCTGTTTTGTGCACAATTCACAGTTGTTAACATCATAGTGCTTCACTCTTCCAAACAAAGGATCCATATGGAACAGCTGTTCCAATCCCTCTGCAAAAACCCCCACACTAGTAAGGTTTTGTGGGGTAAAACAGTTTTGAAGTTGCCCCAAGTAAACTGCCTGCTTTTGGGTGGAACCTCCCCAACAAATATTCAAGTTCTTAAAAACACTGGCAATATGGCTAAGCAGCCACCATCAAGCCTCAGTGTGAAAAGCCATGCCACTGTCTCTTTCCTTTTGGGGTAGGAAATGACCACACCTAGAAAAAAAAAGAACTGGTTTAAAGAGAATCTTCCAAAAGGAAAGTTAAATTAAACCTGTGCATTTTATAAACACCTTCTAAATCCAGTCATGTGGTACCAGGTGAGGTTCTATTCCTGCTCTTCTGGGAAGTCCATCACTGCTATGACACAACATTCCAGTTGGAAGAAAACTAACATCAACTGCTTAGGATTCCTCAACGTTCTGAGAACCGTCTTGGCAAATTTGGGATTAAAAGTACTGGAGAAACTTGAATATTCTCCCAAGATAAAAACCAGTCTTAAAAAAGGGGGTTCCAAGTTACACTTCCAATAATCTTTCCACACAAACCCTCCAAAATAGTTACTTGGCTCTTTTAACCCTATTTAACACACTTCAAACCCTCTTAACAGCTTTTAACTACATGGCAGAGGCTGCCCTCTCTCACCTGTCATTACAACACACATTACAATACACAACACGTAAGAGTAAGTCATTTTCTTTTGCTAGAGCCATCACGAATTGGGACTTAAGGGCTGCATCCAGATGAGCATGGACGTTTGGTTCCCCAGGGACAAGTAGCAGTGACACACCTTGCACCTCAGCTACTTGTCTCCAGGCAACACCTGTGCCATGTGCGCGTTAGTGCATGGCAAGTTACTCCAGGGGTGGTAGGGAGGCTGGTAGGGGGCCTCCCAGGGCCACAGCTGTGGCCATCCTGCCGGGTGGAGCCTGGCTTCAGACAGCCCGGCTCCTCTTTTTAGTCACGTGCTGCCTGTGCATGCGCTGCTCTGGGTTTTTTTTCCCCCTGTGTTTCTTTTTTTTGCCCCCTGGATATCCAGAGGTCAAAAAACCCATGGTAGGGTAGGGGTGGGGGGAGGGGGGAAAAAAAAAAAAAAATGGAGCAGCGCACACATGGATAGCGCACCCTTGCAGCATAAAGAACAGCTGGCTGTGGGGTATGTGGTGCTGCAGACATGTTTGCGGTGCCACATACCACACGGCTGTACTCGTCTGGATGCACCAAGTGTCTGGTAAGATTTCTTCCAATGGTACCATTTCCATTTGAAAAATTTTATCTTTAACTAGACATACCTCTAAGCAGGCCACTTACTTCTTCATTTACCATCTGATTACAACATTCTTTTAACTTTAGAAATCACTTATTTTATAATTGTTACAAAAAAAAAAAAAAAAAATCACCTCTCACACAGGCAGCACATTTCAGAACCTTTCTATTCACAGCCAGGTGATGGTCTTGTTTAAATGTACCCAAACTAACACGAATAGATCAGTCAATAAACTGAACTTTATACTTTATTGTATATCAGCATTGTAATTTCTGTTTTTTTTCAAATTAAAATCTCCATGGCATTTGAAGGATAGTCTTGTGCTATGCTATTCCACATTAAAATTAATTCTGCCAAGAATGATGTAGCCATGACAGTCCAGAAATCATGTGAGATGCAGTAAATTGAATAAAAGTTCTCTCTTTAAGAAATCCTTGCCTACTGCCAAAAAGGAATTTAGGTGTTCTTGAATATTAATTCTATTAATAATAATGTCACTTATTAATGATATTATACTAGAACCTTGGGAACAACTAGGTGAGGCCCCACTGTCTTAGGTGCCGTACAAATATGTAGAAAGTGTCCCAAAGAGTTTTCCAAATCAAAATCTGGGATGAAGAACTGAAATCTGTACCTGTTTAATGATGAGAAGATGACAAACCTGATCTCTTTCTCTCAAAAAGTTATGCAAGTGGTTTTGATATGTGATGCATATATTGACAGTACAAGTATATTTTGAATGTAACACAGTTTATAGTTAGCCAGTGGAAAAATTATAACTCTCAATCAGCATAAACATTTAGAGTAAGACTGAACAAGACATTCTATCTAAGTTTTTGAACTGTGGGACCTTTAGGATGCAAGACTTACCATGCTTTTGCTTACTTGCTCATATTTACTTCCAAGGAAGAAGTTTCTTCACCCCACTTAATGAGAATCACTTTCAAGATATAGAAGATATCATGTTATGAGATGTAACAACTTTCTGAGGTATAAAAGACAACCACCCTACATTCTGAAGGATCTCAGTGACTATTAAAAAGTCAAACATGTGTGAACTATGCAATAAATATGGCAATTAGACAGTCAAAAAAACCCAAACAAACTTAAGTGTAGCCCTATGGTGAAACATAACAGCTGTAAGACTGCCCCGCATGTATACATATAATGAAGTTTAAATTTTCTAACTTCAGTATGGAAGAACTGAATGAGATAAGAAAGAGTTTTCCTTGGCATTTTCCTGCCATATAGTCACAAGACAGTATGTTAAGTTTCAAGAAACCAGAAGCCAAAACAGTTATCATAGACCATGTTATATAACTTGAAAAGTATGATTAATCAGGAGCCAGAATATATATGATTCCTTTGTTTTCAGTCAGGCTGCATGTTTAAAAAAAAATCATCCATAGCTAGGGAATGAAAAGCTATGGAAAGCAGGATTCAGATACAGATTAATGAAAAAAGTAAAATCTCTTAAGAGTAAGCATAACTCAATGTAAAACAAGGGAACAAAGCTGGTGCATGTATGCACATGCACACAAACACACACACTGTCACCCAGTTATGTGAATAAAGCTGGCTCAGTCTTTTCGTTTTGATTGTTGGCACATAACCGGGTAAGTGGTTGTGTCTGACCAATGGTAACAGTTTGACAAGGATTTCACTGTCTTGAGAGGTTTCCCTGGTCTTGCCGCTAGGCCAAAATACCAACGAAAAGGAAGTAATAAAAATCAAGTTCTTCCTTAAAAAAGTTCTCCGCTGAAGTTTTGCTCCATTACATGTGAGGAAAGAAAAATAATTCTTGGGAAGCAAAATATTTATACATTGTTACCAGACAAGCCTCTGTTAAGACATTTTAGCCTGTAAACTTTTGTCACTTCCAACTACAATGCTGAGATTATGTTGGTGCACTCAGGAGTGGAATACCAGTTTTAAATTACAGAAAGTATTATATTCCTGTATACAGCTGCAAGTTACAGTTCCACAGTATGGCTTTTTGTCATAAAAGCTTTACCCATTTTTCAACAGATGTAACATCAACATTTTAAAGATGTTATACCTTTTTCACACAAACTTTTTTTATAATGCGGGGTCAAATACCACCATCACCACATACTACACTAGTTCTGATGCACTTAACGATAAGATCCCAGCCTAGTCAAATATTCTATATATTAAGATGTTGAATGAATTATGAAGCCATGCAAAGTGACAACATTTGAGAACCTATTTACCATTGTTGGTGAATTCTTCAGAATTGTAATTTACCATTTCATTTTTCATGTGTTTTCTCTAGACCTCCTTATTAAGATCACAGCTTAAAAATATGAAGTCAATACATTGTTATTTAGAAGATTCTAATGTTAGACAGCTTGGGACCAAACTAATGGAAGCTGGAGACTCTCCCATTCACCCTAATGCACTAAGTATATTTGCAATCATTTAAATGTGAACATATTCAACAAATTGCTGTTACACAGATCACTTTCAGGAGAGTTTAAATGAGAAGGAACAGATTAGTTCAGCTGAGGCTGGGAAATCAATATTCCTAAAGAAAAAAAAAAGGACTTCCCAAGCAACTGGTCATCAACAACTTGAGAAAGTTGTCGTTATACTTTTGCCTCTTGCTTTTTATTTAGATTTGAGCTTAACATTCATTATCTCTGTTGCTGTACACTATAAGAAACCAACAAATTCTCTTTTAAAAAAAGAAGGGAAAGGTTCATTTGGTATTGTGTAGGGGGGAAAAAAAACAAAATACTCTTTTTTTTTTTCCACAACAGGTTTTTGAAATATGTTGTTAATAAATTGGGCCTAAACCCTGTTGGTATTATCAAGCAAAATGCATGCATTCAATTTTATTAAATATCTCAAAGCAAAACTCATTTGATAAATAGTTTTCAACCTCAATATTAGGTAAATAAAAAGTAGAGCACATGCTAGTGGTTGCACAGCACTGATACGAAGCAATTCAACCACCTCACAGGGCATAATGAAAATAAAAATAACAAAGCATGTAGTAATATGGATATGGAACTCATAATACAACCTACATGTATATCAAAATGAAGAACTCAAGAGACACTTTCATTAATTAATATATTTTCTGCATTATAGTTAACATATGTACTTTCTTCGTGTCACCCTTATTTTCGTTAAGTATTGATATTTTGTTATATTCAGACATGAGTACATTTTCAAAGTCTTTTGCAATAAATATCATAAAATAATAGAGATTCACATAATAAATATTCTTTACAATAAAAAAAGTTTTAACAGACTTTTGTCTTAAAAATAGTCAGGATTCAACTTTGTGTTTTATACATAAAATATACAAAAAGGGACCACAATTTGTGGCTAAGGCAATAAAACACAAAACAGAGTAAAGTTATGAAGCACAGATCAGAGCTAAATTCACTAAACCAAGGAAGTAACAGAAATTGTAAAGATCCAAGAACATTTAGGCAACTTAATTCAATGACACCTGAAGACTGCTTGGATACACAAAACTCCTCCAACTTCAGTATCAACGCGATCTTGATGGACTGCACAAACATGAGAGAAGGGCTGGAGTGGCTGGTGTCCTTCACAGATTTGAAAGCAAGAGAAAAAAAGTGAAAAGTTGCAGCCATGTCTCCAATGTGAAGATCTACATAGTGAAGCAAAACAACTGAAGCAATATTGAAGGGGGGGAAAAAAAAAAAAAAAAAAAAAAAGAAGCACAAGCCAGGCAAGTCTCTGGATTGAGACAACTCCAAGAAGGGTCGGGAAGAGCAGCTTATTTGACCAATGGTTAAAAAAAAATAAATACAAAAAAAATCCAGCCCTATATTTTCTAAGGTTCCAACCCCTTCAGGACTATTTTTAAACTGTTTCATAATCCAGCTCAGTCATGGAATAATGTTGGACTTGTTCCTCCGAAGCAAAAAAATAAACAAAAACAAAACAACCACAGTTGAGGAGAACAAAAAGGACATCTTTGGGAAGTTTTCTGTAGAGCAAGAGGCTGCAAAAAAAGCCCATTAGCCCTCCTTGTCTCTTTAATGAGCGGATTATACTAACAAGCCTAAAAGGTCCTGCTAAACTGAGGATTTAGGTGTAAATATATAGTCCATGCTTACCAAAGATTGAAAATGACTAAATAAAATATACCACACTTGTCTGAGTCAAAGAAGGGATATGGAGGGTGCAAAGAAAAGGACTTGTATGTAAAGTGGGTAAAGGAAGGAAAGTTAAAGGATTAACAAAGAGCAAAATCAGCCACAACCTGAAAGCAAAAGTCTGAGGAAGTAAAATCAAATCTCCCTCCAAAAATCATGAAGGCTTGCCTTGACCCCGAGAGGGGCAGCTCTCCAGTTTACAATAGACAGTGTTGGAGTTCTTACATCGGCAACCTGGACGATTGATCCGGTCATAACACCCTCGGCACAGTTTTAGGCATCCCTTTGCAGGAGGGTAGCACAGCAAGCAAGGCAAAAACAAGGACATTGCTCCCATGCACAGGTACCTGGAACAGCAATGTGACTGGGAACAAGAGCAGGGATTATCCGCGTATGAGTCCCCTTCATCATCATTGGAACAGTGGTAGAAAATCCCTTTGATCAGGCACATGCAGGTGCTGTACTCCACCATGCTCTCAGCAGAGCACAAGCACTGCCTGTTGCAGGCCAAGCAAGATGGTAAGGCCCTCGGGGCTGTGCATTCACCACATTTGCACTTCCCACACTGTTCGCAGATAAACTTGTGTTGTGTCAAGTCCTCTTTCAAGGGACCCTTCAGATCATCTACAATCAAAGATGACTGCTTGGGCTGTGTCCGGATGGTCCTTTCAGATCTGTGGCCTGAACCCGGCCTGGATGGGGGTGATCTTCCCAACAGTCCCTGCTCTGAAGAAGCGCTACTGTTGCTTCCAGAACTAGCTGCACTCCCAGTGCTAGTTGATCTGCTCAGCACAGGGGCCCTGACATTATGCTGATGTGCCACATGTCCTACATGGCTGGGCCTGGGTTCGTAATTATTATTCACATTAATTGGTACGATTTCATGAGTCCTTTCATGCTTTTCTTGTCTTGGTGCTGTCCGTGGACCAGACTTCTTCACCACAGATGGACCTTCAGTGTATTCATTGCTGCCCCTAATAACTTTGATCTGATCCAGTGACAAGATAGCTGTTGGCTGAGTTTCTCTTTCATAGTCCAGCCTTTGCCTGCTGTCCAGGGAAGGCTGCTGAGTCACAACTAATGAACCGCCACTGCCATGTTGACTTTGGGGCTCCATCTGTAGAGATCTCCACTTCTGGCATTCAATGGAAACGTGGCATGCATCTGAAATCCTAAATTGGGGGTGGGGGGAGATAAGGGGTGGGGAGAAGGAAGAGAGATCAGAGGTGAAAATGGAATAAATCACAGGAAGTTTTTTCAAAGTAAAAATGTCATGGCAAGCCACAAATTGCCCTAACCACCTGGTAATGATCTCTTTCAGCAGGGGGGGATTACAGTGATGCTGACTGAGGGCCTGGCCAAAGTCCAGTTGTGGGGGAAGAGACTAGGTATGGCCTCATAGAGGAAGAATGTAAGAGGAAACCCCCAAACCACTTAAAATGAGAGATTTTTCCATTAAAAACAAATAAAAGGAAGTATTAACCTGTATGCTTATTTGGCAAACTATGGGAAATAAATACTTCTCACTTGTTACTGAATATAACGTCTAATCAGGAACAGCAACACCGAACACTACAAACCAAGTTAGATACATGAACGAACAGTATCAGATTTATATTCTGTATAGCAAAATCTGTGCAAGCTTTTCCTTCTTTTCTATCAGGCTCGGCTTGCTGTCTCAAAAGATTAAGTTAGATTTGCATTCCACTCCCTATCCTTGTTTTAAGCTTGTAATCTATCTTTAAAATGAAACACACACGTTCAAAAGCCCCAAAATGAGTACTATGAAAAAATGTCTAATTCTGAAGCCCGTTTTCTAATAGAAAAAAATCACTGCTTTAGAATATAAGTTTTTATTAAAATAAGGCATCAGATATAAATTACAGCATCTTATACAACAGATCTTTTAAGTGGTCTGATACCACAGGATAGGATGTGTAGGTAGAAAAGGAAAGTAAAATAAACCAAGAGCACAAGTTTCTGACATTTATGAATTCTCATGCGTCTTCTCTGGAAACAAATGACTAGAAAAAAAAAAATCTGTTCTTACAAAATACTCTAGGGGAAAAAAAATTATTGAAAAGTTCCTAACACATTACATTAATTTGTATCTTCTTGTCCCAAGCTATTGACAGGAGGATTATAATGTTGATTTGGAAAACTCTGTAGAGTGTTAATTCTGTACCTGTATGAAATGTGTTGGGGGGCTAATTATTTATACAACATTTAGTAATTACATAAGTGTCCTGGGAAAACAAACATTTACTTTCCTGTACCAACAGCTAGAGAAGATTGACTCTCTACCCTCCTCCCCAGCAAAAACTGCATACTCTTGTGTTTCTCATTTTTTCAGACAAGTGCCAGACTGGAACATGCTCCAAACCAGCTTATCCAATAAACGTAAAGAAAGTACATTTGTCTTGCATATCCAAAGCATATTTGCTGCAAGCTGCTCCAATTCAAGAAAGAATAAGGATGGAGGGTATGAAGACACCCAGGAGAAGAGCAAAGGTAGTTAAAATTCTGCTTAGAAACGTTGTTTCAACTGGCAGCTATGAGATACATCACCCCCCTCCCAGGTACTGATCTCTGATTTGCACTGGCACACAGAAAGCATTAAGCCATCTAGAGGCCAAAGGTCCCCTTTTACACTCAATATCACCTCTGCCAGAATTAGGGTTTGGAGATTAAAAAGCTGACTTTAGTCACTCTGTATTCACCCCCCATAACAACCTCTCCTTTTCACATGGTTGAATAGGAGCGCACAAATGCTAGGTGTGAATGAACATGGAAAGATTTATGGAAGAGAACACAATATAACGATGCTGTAAAAAAAAGAAAAAAAAAGTATGTCTCAAGCACTGTGCACTATTTTTGGAAAATATGCCAGGTTAATAATGCAAAATGCAGTCTTAATAACTGCTCACATAAATGACAGAAAGGGGGAAACCACTTGGAGGGCTGCCTGCTGCGATACCCCTTGTGAAGGACCCCCTGCCCCGCAAATACCATCTAAAATTACTCTCCTCCCCACCCAAAGGTAAAGCAAACAAAAACGAGCCACCTGAAGGGTGAGTGCACGCTAGGAACTGCTGTGGCTTTTAGCACAGCTGCCAATGCCCCATTACAGGTCACTGTTTGCTAGGGTGGCCATCATAGAGGACATTCCGGTTTTCTGCTACTCTGTCCTCTATTGATATGAAACCCAACGCCTTTATGTCCTCTATTTTTCTCTTCAAGAGAATTATTAACCTGGCATGTTTTCCAAAGATAACACACAGTGCTTGAGATGCACTTTTTTTTTTTCCCTCTCTTCAAGAGAAAGAGGACATAAAGGTGTCCGGTTCCGTATCAATAGAGGACAACCGGACCATCCTCTATGATTCCCACCCTATTGTTTGCTCCACAGCACCCCATGGCTAAGCTCCCCCCGCCCTTACCCCTCCATGCCCTGCTAACCCCCTCCAGAGTAAAAGGAGGGTTTGGCAGTCCTATGTCCAGTTTAGATGATGGTTGTACGGGCCGGTTTGGAGAGGGCTGGTCCTGCCTCAGGCTGTGGGGTCGAACTAGACACCCTGTGGAGGTCCCTGTCAGACTCTCCGAGTCTTGGGTGATGCCCCAGGAAGCCGGGTGGCGGGAGGCAGCAGCTGGCGCCCTCTGCCATGTGAGCCGAGCCCGCCACCAATGCAGACTTGAGGGGGGGAAAAGAAAAAGTTATGAATGAAAACAAGGGCTGTTTCCCCCCCCCCACACCCTTTTGCAGGAGGAGGGGAAAGAGGCCGAGCGAGGTTCCTATTACCTCAGGAGGGCGGACTTTCCAACATTTAAAGCAGCAGCTCCCTCCCCGGCCCTCCCCTCCCTCCAGCACAGCTCCTCAAGGCTTGGGCGTGCTCCTCCGTGCGCGCCGGGGATTTCCCCCCACTCCTCCGCCCCTCGCGTGCTTTCCAGGGGAGGAAAAGAGGGGGCATCTCGCTCCTCATCTCTCC